AAAAAAAAAATAATAATAGTTAATTAAATAAAAAAATTCTAGTATAAAAATAAAACAAAATAAAATAAAAATAATTAATGAAATAAATAAACTAAATAAATAGTAAATAAAATAAAATCTAATTTAATAATATATTATATTTAATAATATTTACAATAGATAAATAGAATATCATAAAATAAATAAAAATACATTAATAAATAGAATTAAATATATATATACACACACACACACACACACACACACACACACAAACACACACCCGCACACACATGCACACACACACACACACACACACACACACACGCGCGCACACACACACACACACACACACACACACACACACACACACACACACACACACACACACACACACACACACACACACACACACACATTTTTTTATATTTTTCATAATTTTATCATAAATCTTATTGATGAATTTAAACATAAATAATAATATATTTGGTATAATTTGTTTAATATATATATATATATATATATATATATATATGTATATATGTATGTATATATGTATATATATATATATATATATATATATATATATATATACATATATATATATATATATATATATATATATATATATATACACACAGTATATTATATCATAAAACTTTATTAAATAACTGTATTAATTTAGTTTTTCAGAAAAAAAAACCTGTAGAGCAGCTAATATAACACTTCCATAAATAGCTAATTTCCCTAAAGTTAGCTAAACCTGCTTTTATTCATAATTCTGCAACCAACTGTACACCTCCTAAATTAACTTTGCACCACGAAATGAGTTTCACGAAGTGTTAAATGCTTAGTTTCTGCCATGACTGTGTGATAGACTTGGTGAAACACGTGTTGAAATCAGACGAGATCTTCTAAAACCTGCCTGAATATAGATGTGAAATTACGCTAGATGAAGCAAATGCTGCCCGTGAAATATGTGAATTTCCTGAGAATGAGTCAGGCTGACCTTTACAGCCTTGAATAAAGTTGAGCTTGAGGAGACGAATACTTGATTTAATGTGAGCCAAAGCCAGTCTGAGCAATGCAAACAGCCTAATTTTGACCAGCATGGCATGACATTTGACTTGTGGACTAGGGACGCCAACTATTAACTGACGATCCATTTAGTGTTGACAATTCTTTAAATCAATACAGCTTGGTATATTCAGAAGGGTGTCATTAACATGCATAGTCTCATAGTTAGACAAGTTAAAGGGCAGCTATTATGCAAAAATCACTTATATAAGGGGTTTAAACACAGTTGTGTGGGAACAGTCTATGAATATTACCAGCCTCTAATGGTAAAAATGATTAATTGTATTCTTTATATTCACACTTCCTAAAAACGCTCTGCAGAAACACTTTGATTGACATTCTCTCGTTGTACATATCATCAGAGGGGAAATCCCCGCCCATTAGAGACTGTAGCTGCGTCCCAAATCGCATACTTATGCACTATTTTACGCCATTTTGTAGTATAAATAGTGTAAGTAGTGTGTTCACATTGAAAACTCTCAAAATAATAAGTGCACTTTAATTACCCGGATGATGCACTCATTCAGCCGCTAAAATGAAGTGTGGAATGATGGACACTTCACGCACTCAACGACCGCAGGTTTGCTTACGTAGCGGAAGGGGGGGAGCGATCGGACGCACATGTTGAATAACTTTATTTATTTTGGATGGTGAAAGCAAAATTCTCCTACGAGAGTGATTATAGCGCCTCCCGATGGTAAATACGGCAATACTCACGGTAGGTATTACTTGATAATTCAGTCGTTAATTTCACTGATTTGGCAACAGTCAAACGTCATCAGGGAAACGGTTTGAATTTCCGCTTAGTAAAAAAACATTAGTGTGCCATTTGGGACAACACTACATACATATACTATCCTGTTGAGTGTGTAAGTGCATAAGTACATAGTGCATGAGTGCATAGTGTATAGTGTGCCATTTGGGACTCAGCATGTGTCTCTCTTCTTAGCACAGGATGTCAGTCTTGTTTTTGAATCTGCCATTATCCTGACACATAGGCATTTGTAACTCTGCCACTTACACTTACATCTCCAAAAGGCTATGACTGGCGCATTTGTATCACATTCCTTTATCAGCACCCCACTGGAAAACAGGCAGGACTATTGCTATTTATTTAATACTTTTTGGTTACTTAATAAGGTAAATATCTGAAAAAAATAAGTCCAAAATTCCATAATCCAAATTCCATAACACTTACAAAGGCAACAACTGGTGCATTTGTATTGCATTCCTTTATCAGCATTACAGTGGAAAATAGGCAGGACTCTTTTTATTTATTTAATACTTTTTTGCTACTTATTGAAGTAAATATCAGAAAAAAGAGTCACAAAACCAGAAACATCTGATCATCTCCATTAGGGATGCTCAAAATAATCGATTAACCGTTAACCGAAAGGGTGCGTTTGTGACCGATTAATGCTATCAGTTAAACGATTAAAATGATTATTTTATATATTTTTAGTTTGGCTGCATAAGGGGCCGATTGAATGCGCTTTTGCTTTAAGAGGGGCATCTTTTGCATGCGGCTCATCCCAAACCTTTGAACAAAATTTGGTGTGAAAAAAATCGGGGATTTTAGGTATAATCTGGTTTAAGAACAAATAATGTTCAAATGGCAAAATCCATTACAAATGAATCCATTATACATTGTGTAAATAAAACAATATTAATAATAGTAAATTAAATAAAACAATTCTAGTATAAAAATAAAACAAAATAAAATAAAAATAATTAATGAAATAAATAAACTAAATAAATAGTAAACAAAATAAAATGTAATTTAATAATATATTATATTTAATAATATTTACAATAGATAAATAGAATATCATAAAATAAATAAAAATAAATTAATAAATAGAATTAAATATATATATACACACACACACACACACACACACACAAACACATGCACACACACGCACACACACACATTTTTTTTGCGCCTTTGCGTTAAGAGGGGCATCTTTTGCATGCGGCTCATCCCAGAGCAGCAGTTTGTGTTGTCAAGACAACTACAGAGAACTCTTAAAGAGCTTGGTTTCCGCTACATTCGTTCTTCCATGGCGGGGACCAAAATGCACCCCGCCACGGCTACATACCCATTCAAAACATTCAGTTATTGTTGTTGTTGTTTTTAATAGCGGATTATAATCGCATCAAAACGTATTAAAATGTAAGTGGATTATAACAGCACAAACTTTTCTGTAACCGTATAGTGCTGTGCGCTATCTGTTTAATCCTTTGGGGTTACGTGCTGACTGACTGACTGACAGGTGCGCGATGCGTGAGGTCAGCAAACACGACGAAGCTTTCAGTTAAGATGAACACAGTTTCTATAGTTATACTTTATTCATAGATAAAGTATGACTCTGCATATTTTCACTCTATCATGCTGGAGTTTATAGCCGTTTTGCTTTACTTCAGGACACATTACCACCGCTCTGAAGGTCTAATCGCTGTTTTAAGTTATCCAGAGCTGTATGAATGTACAAATCTTAAATATCACAATATTATTAAATATTACAATTGTAACAACACAGACAACAACACTTTTGCACAATGGATACCCAGCTGATTCAGTCGTTTCATCTAAAAAAGCGCTGATGTTGACCTGGATCTGCGTCATAAACGCAACAAATAGGCTTTACCTTTTATTTTACAGCATATAAAGCATGTATGCACATTAATGCAATATCATATTTAAACAACAAAACTGTTTACAAAAAGTCAACATATGCGCGCGTTGTTGTTGTCTTTTCATCACGCAGCGCGCGCACTTGAACCGCGAGGGAGAGAGAGGAAACCACATAGCAAGACATAATCTTTAAAATAAGGATTTCTATTAAAATGTAAAAAGGTTTTGTGATTATAATAATAACAGCGGGGCATTAAATAAATGCATATTTTCCGTGGAGCTGGCAATTTGAGGAAGTCTGCAATTTTATTTGACGGAAGACAAAAATATGATTGGAAAAAAACTGCCTATGCCAGTTATTAAAAGTAATCAGTCAGTGTTTTCGATTTGTAATATAAATTAATTATTTAAGTGAAAATAATTTAGGGCAGTCCTATTTATTTTATTTATTTCATTTAGTTTATTCTGTTCTTCTGTGCTAAACTCTGCAGGTGCGTGAAAATGCTCTGTTGTATTGTTCTATTATTAATATGCTAGCATATAAAAATAAATCAGTATTTTATGCAATATTTAATGTGTCGGACACAAAATAGACACGTCAATTTGTTTAATATAAAATTAATAGTAATCTGACCAGTTAACCGTTAATAACCGATTAATGAGCGGCGGTTGTCGGTTAGCAAAATTAACCGAAATGAGCATCCCTAATTTTCATATCACATAACACTTATGTTACCAAAGACAACGACTGGCGCATTTGTATTACATTCCTTTTTAGCACCACAGTGAAAAATAGGCAGGCCTCTCGCAATTGATTTAATACTTTTTTTTGTTACTTAATAAAGAAAATATTAGAAAAAGAAGACCCAAAAACAGAAATATCTAATCACCGCCCATATGACATAACACTCACGTTGACAAAGGGAACGACTAGTGCATTTGCATTACATTCCTTTATCAGCACCACAGTGAAAAATAGGTAGGACTTTTGCTATTTATTTAATACTTTTTTGTTACTTAATGAAGCAAATTTCAGAAAAAAAGTCCCAAAAACAGAAATAACTGATCACCGTCCATATTACACAACACTTACATCACTGAAGGCAATGACTGGCGCATTTATATTACATTCCTTTATCAGCATCACAGTGGAAAACGAAACCATTTCTAAGTTGATTGGACGCGATCAGCACGAAATGGAATAGTCACGCAAACAAAACCACTTATCCCGATAGTACAAAAGTGGCGATTTATTTAAACGATAAATGATCAGAGGAATGTGTGGAAAGCAGAGTGTGGGCCTCACCTGCAGTATGAAGGTCATGGCGATGATCATAGAGTACAGGTCGTATTTGCCCATCTGTTTGCTTAGAGCTGAACTCATGGCCTTCAGTGCATCCAGATATTGCTTTCTGACCTTCTTGCCCATGTTACTCAAAACCTCAGACTTGTTTCCGTCCACATAGAGCTTCATCCAGCTGCCATGAGCCTTCTCCGCCACACGAAACTGCTCATAGCCATCTTCTGTCGAAGATAGATAGAGGGAAAATATAGGTAAAACTAGAACAGAGAATGAACTATAAAAATGCTGTCTAACTAAATGCCAGCACTCTAGACAAGTTAAATGACTTGATTTGACTTTATAAGAGATTTTAAACACTCTACATGACTCCACTGGCAAACAGCACTATTAAAGTGCCCTATTATGGATTATGAATGGTTCAAATTTTAGTAGTGGCTGTCCCCAAAAACAGGTTGTTCAAAACAAACATTCATTGTCTGAGAATATGCATACAGTTTTAGCCCATTTCTCAACAAATACCAAACAAGTTGGTGAAAGTAACATTTTTCCAAACTCCTTTGCGTGACACTAATCTCTGATGATTGATCAATTGACCCAGTCTGTTGTAAACAATCACCATTTTATACAGTACATGAACAAACAGCATGGAGAAAGCATCCAGAGTTGCAAGGAAAGATGAAAGATTTTCCCAGGTCTGTATGCGCAATTAGGCAAGCAAATGTTAATGTTTCATGTTGACGTCAACATAAAATGGCTTGAAATCCCTTTTGAAAATTACTCATTTTAATGACTCTGAGTCGAACTGTTCTTATAGAAACAATAACTTCATACCGGGTGCACTTTCAGATTTAAATCTCAGATGTTTTCATTCACTTGGAGCTGTACTACACACTGCATTTCAAAAAACCATAATAGGGGCACTTTAATGAAAGAAATATAGAAAAAAAAAGAGTAAAAAAAAACATTTATGATGAGAAAATTTTATTAGTATTCTTAATATTTAATATTTATATTTATATTATTATTATATAGTTTTTGAAGTTACAGTCTGTACATGTAAAAATAGGACAAAATAAAATAAAATAAGAATAAATAAATAAAATATTATAAAAAAACATAAATAAATAAATAAAATAAAATTTGGTTAATAATTTAATTCAAGACAAAACAAAAAAAATTAATATAAAAAACAAGAATAAATAAATCAAAAAATAATAATTAATTAATTAATTAAAATATGAAAAACACAGTAACAATAAAATTAAAAATACAATAAATAATAAAACAAACGAAATAAAAAAAAAAATAAAAAAACACAAACCCTGGGGCAATGCTTTAATTTTATTTTTTTTATTTTTGGCTTAGTCCCTTTATTTATATGGGGTCGCCACAGCAGAATGAACCACCAACTTATCCAGCATATGTTTTACGCATATGTTTTACGCCCTTCCACCCACAACCCATCATTGGGAAACATCCGTACACACTCATTCACACATACACTACGGACAATTTAGCCTACCAATTCACCTATACCTCATTTCTTTGGACTGTGGGGAAAACCCTAGCACCTGAAGGAAACCCACACCAACACGGAGAGAAAAAGCAAACTCCACACAGAAATGCCAACTGACTCAACCCCGGCTCGAACCAGCGACCTTCTTGCTGTGAGGCGATCAGGCTACCCACTGCGCCACTGTGACGTCCATAATGGGCTCATTATGGTGCTATAGACACATATGATGCCTTGAAAATATCACTAGGTTTTGAAAGTGATCTGCAGTGATATGAAGACACAAAGAAGGTGTTGCACAAAAAGCAGGAGTCTGTTTTCAGCAGACAGGCACCGAGGGTCTTCACAGCAGGGTCTCTGTGCGAGCTAACAGACACGTCTAACACACACAACGCCGCCCAGACGCTTCACTACAGGACACTCCATCGCTGAGCTCTGACTCTCCGCACAGCTGATGTGTGTACGACAGAAATACACTTGACCCAACAACGTGGCAAACGCTTCATGTGGTTTTGTGTCGGAGCATAATTCAAAAGCATTTTGCATTAATGAGGATCTTCTGTATTTTCGCAGCTCAACTAGAGACAAAGAAAAACAGTTTGTTATGCAAGTTAGGCCTTGTCCACTCTAATACATTTTCATTTAAAAACGCATCTTTTTTTTTTTTTTTACATTTTGGCCATTCATTCACATTGAGACTGCGTTTTTAGGCAACGAAAATGTATCTTTTTGAAAATAGTCTTCAAAGTGGACGGAATTTGATTGGAATGGTATTACATTTGATTAAATTGGGATTGGATTTGAATTTGGATTTTTTTGCAATTGGATTGGATTGAATTGGGATTGAGATTGGATGGATGGATGGATGGATGGATGGATGGATGGATGGATGGATGGATGGATGGATGGATGGATGGATGGATGGATGGATGGATGGATGGATTGGATTTGATTGGATGGGAGAGACTGAATTGGATGGATTGGATGGACTGGACTGGACTGGACTGGACTGGATTGGATGAACTGAACTGAACTGAACTGAACTGGACTGGACTGGACTTGACTGAACTGGACGGATGGATGGATGGGAATGGAATCAATGGGATTTAATTGATGGATGGATCGATGGGAATTCATTAAAAACAAGTTTTTAATGATTAAATAAGAAGATGAAAACGAATAGACTATAGATATGAAGTAACAGTAATTGTTTCAGAGTACTGCGATGAAATGCTGGTTTAGCATATAAATGTAAACAGTCATTATAACAGACCAGAACGCAGAGATGAATGTGTTATAACGTAAATGTAAAGAAGAGACCATCGTGTAATAAATACTGAACCTTTAATCAGTAAATATGAGCTGGTTTCACTTTCTAAATGCGGTATAAATTCATCCCGTTTTGGCATTGCTTTAATCCTTTTGAACATATTCAGGTGCTGCTTATCAATTTGACAAGGCTTCTACGTTCGTTCTTGCTGTCAATTGCGCAAGAAATGATCGATAAAAGGTTTCTGATCAACCGCTGTGACAGTTGCAGGCGCTGTGTGATGTGCATGCACGCGAGGGGAGTCAGATTTCGATACAACACCGGCACTGCATGTTCCTCCATTTCGCCTCAGTGATGGGTCGTTCTTGAACGATTCGTTCATTTTGAACAAATCTTTTGTATGACTCATGGAGTGAATCATTCTTTTGGGCATGTGCACGTTTGTGCAGGTGGAGTTTGCGTGCTACCTTGAAGTGGTCTGTCTCGCGCAGAGTTGCCTACTTAGCAATTTTGTTGCTAGATTTAGCAACTTTTCATACTACACTAGCAACTTTTTTTTTTTCAAAAAAGCATCTAGCAACAAATTTAGCAATTTTTAACATTAATTTGGCTACTTTTAGCAATTTATAAAAACTGACTCAAAAGAGCAGTAGCTGTGGGCATCACTCAGAAAGGTAAATCGCTAGCTCAGATCGTTTTTCGTAACTGTTAACCTACTGTTATTTGTTAACATGTATAATTGTTGGCAATTTAGGTAGCAATAAATTCCAAAAGTGCTATAATTGTTGTCACTTTCACAAATGTGTTAATTTCACAAGTTAAAAAGAGATATACACAAGCTGCGATTGTTTAAAAGAATGTAACTGTTCATTATCAGTGTTATATTTAAAAAATAAACTACTCTTATCAAAAAGTGTATAACTTTTACAAATAGTCAACTCTTCTTTTCTATAAAACTCTAAATGGACATATTTCAAATCAAGTATTTGCTTAGATGGCCAGTCAGTTTGAGAAAACATTTATTATTTTGTATACTACATAAAGATGTACAGTAGTTTTGAGTTGTGATTACGGACGGACATCATCACGCAAAGTAATATGTTAATAAGAACCTATTCATTGTGCATCCGCATGTAATGTTTTAATATAATATAATACACGGCGCCTCAGAGAGTAGAGACATGTCTGTCTTACGCTTGTCAGATACTATGTGATAACGTCACTGATATGCAAATGAGTGTGTGACATCATCTGGCAACAAGTATCTACTTTTCGGGCAGGCTTTAGCTACAGAATGCGCACATATAGCCTTAAGCCATATCGATATGAACAGCATTTGATAATCCTGCATCGGGTTGGGAAATCATAGCGATATATCCCCAGAACTCAATATACCACCTTGCCCTACAACATATGCCTTATTATGTTCAAGATAATGCAAAACGAGCTCTTCTGTGCCATGCAAAGAAGAGATTAGTTCAGTCTGACAGACTCAGATCAATATAGTCTATTGTCTCAAATATATGATGCAATTAAACTATCATAACAATGTCATTTTAACGAGCTCATCTGTTGACTTTTATTTTTTCTATATACAGTTTAATTAGCAATTATGTATCTTTAATTTAAATGGCATTAAACATACTAATGTAGTGCAGAATGGAAGTCAAAGTAGCTGACATGATCTCTCGTATTATACTGTGCATTTAACGTAGTACAAATTTGCATGATGCAGATTGATGATGATGCATGAACAGAACGGCAAAGGATGAATCTCAGATATTAATTTAAATCATGCATGATACTTCTAACACGTCCACATGCCTCCAGGCCACGGAGAAGCTATGAATCTTTAACATTTCTTTCTCAGACGTCTTTGTTTTCCCCTCAGCATCTCTAAAGCATCTTAATCGGTCTCCCTGCGCAAACCCCAGAGACATAAAGGTGATAAACCGAGACGGGATTTGCAGACGGAGATCATGTTAACCCAGAGAAAAAGTGATGAATAGGGCAATTACCGAGTGTTAGCGGCGAAAACGGAACATTAGATGCATTTTCCCATGAATCTGTTTTCTTATGAATGAACGCAGTCTACTGGAACGTTCATCTATTGTCACAACACAAAAATAAGCAAGGGCAGGATTAGTCAATTATATGATTATGCTGAATTAGCTCATGAATCCACGTCAACTGCTATGACAATGCATTATTTCCACAGTATCAGCTAAAAGTCGCGCATGGTCTAGTTGTGAGATGGATAACTGTGGTGGAGCTGTGAGAAAGCTAGAGCTGTGATTCTCAGAAACCAGCCTTTCCTCTTTCAGACACAGCGGCGTCTGCTTCATAATGAAAGTTTAATTCGCAGCATTGATCAGAGAGCAGCAGAGCACGAGAAAAGCCAAACGCGGCGTCCGCTGAGACCAGGATCCCTCTGCTCC